AACTACAGAATACACCCCATTTGAATGTGTATATATATATATACACACAAATGAAACGCAGAAAAAAAGACCTTGTTACCATCTCTCTTGTCTGGCCAGTACCACCTTCCCCTCAGCCCTGCTCAGAGAGATCTTTGCAGTGTGCAGGAGGCTCTCAGTGCCTGGCATCCTCTCCCTGCTGCCATAGAGGAGTCTGTGGCTGGGTGATGCTGAGGGCACAACGGCCACCTTGCAAACAGAACTAGTGGCCATCCCCACATCACAGAGCCCCACTGGAAGCAGAACAGGAGCAGAACACCTCGGACACCCCTCCACAAGCTGGGAATGACCCTCCTCCCCACACAGCACCAGTCGCAAGGGGTAACTGCCCACAGGGGCTCTCCCCTAAATCCTCAGCCGGAAAGGCAACGCAAAGTCACACAAAGAACAACATCTGCCCCATCATCACACTGCCCGCCTTCCTCTGAGATCACAGCAGTGGAGTACCAAACAAAATGCACGTAAAAAGGGACTACACATTTTCACAGGAGGGATGCCAACTTAGATACAGCACTAGCTACAGCAGTCACCACATGAAAAACTCCCTGTGGCAGCACCCACGGCATCTGCAGAGACAGCATCACAGTCTAAAGTTTGAGACTGCCAAACCGCGTGCTCTCTTTATAATATGTGCATTTATTAAAAGCAAGGAAAACAAAACAAAACACCCCACACTTAATCCTTGCATACAAATCCTGAAAGACAGAAGGTCTGTATGCACTGGAGGCCAGACAATTTGCAAATTTATAATTCTACTGAGAATTTTCAAGTGCAGGAGGTGTGGGGGGGAAAGATTCTCTATCTCCTTAACTCAAAGGATCAGACAAGTATAAGCTTAGCCAGAAATTATACCTCACTTCAGGATGCGTTTTCCTTTCTATATACATTTACCACTTCTATCCTCCTTGCTCTTAATTTATATAGCTTGTAGACTTTGTATTGTTGCTTTTTAATTCATATGCAAGCCCTCTGTATTCTCCTGCCTGACTCTTATTTTGAATATGCTCTCATGTAGCAGCCAAACACTCACGAAAAGCCCTGTAACACTTGGTATTCCCTACAGATGAAAAACAGTCTTAGTAAAGAAATTCAGTTATAAGCTGTTTAGTCAGAATTCTTTTTAAAAAGCCACTGCGTATTCATTACAAAAATAGCATGACTCCTAAGAAACAACCAGTGTCATTGATTCATTTGAGACTCCTGTTTCCCAAGCCTATGGGTGTTGCACGTGGGATCCTGCTACATGAAATCCACTCAGTTGTTCTCTATTATTTTCCACGCATGTGTCAAATTAAATGCTCTCAAGTCTAATGCCCCTCTAAAGGCAACACATTATGCCTTCAATGAGAACCATGGGTTATAAATTTCATATTCGGGTTAACAATCCCACAGGAAGTCAAACCCGGAAACCAAAAGCTGACAAAAAATGACACTCACCTAAAGTGAAGAGAATTGTATTGCTTTGAGATGCTCAGAAAGATTTTCTTTCTCGGGTTGTCAAAACTGAATTACCAGAGGAGCTGCAGACTAAATTTAGACTCTCCAGGGCTGCACCCATCCATAACCTGGCCTTTTTGGCACATCACAACTACAGCAGGCATTCAGAAAGCTCAGGGGACACTGCGCTTTGCTCGGCCTACTTAGCAGAGACAAAAACACATCTAAGACTCCCAAAGAATGCAAACACTTCATGACTAAGCCCGTCTCTTCCTTTGCTGCTCCTCATCCCAGCAGCTCTGTTCCTGTAACTGGCAACTGGGGACTAGGCGGGTATTGCTACAGCGTCTGTATTATCTAAGCTACATCTCCACAGCAGTGAGAAGAAGGTCTGATTGCTTTTTGTGTCTTTATTATGAACTGTCACATTAAGCTTGAGGTAAGCTCTGAATAAAGCCTTTACTAAAAGGCAGAATGTCACATTATACCTTCTTGCTTAAGCTCAGAATGTCCAAAACTATGTCCAACGCCAACGAAAATTATTGCTAGGTTGGCTGCAAAACATGGGCACCCGTGAGGTCTCACAGCCAGGTGCTGACCACGAGGGAATGCCACCTCTACATAGCTCATGCCTCCTAAAAGCAACGCCTTTGAGCTTTTCATTCAGATTTAGCATCCTCCCCCTTCCCTCCCCCGCTTTTCCTGGCCTTTCAATTGCTCCTTATTAACAAAAATGAACAAGAACTGAATAGTCACATAACAGCATGACAAATCTTTAAAAAAAAAAAGAAAAAGAAAGTGTCCATACAATTTTAAAGGAAGTTATGAAAATTCAGTTACGCTGCAGCTCCCTGTTAATGCTGCAAAATGCTTAACAGTTGTAAAGAGTTTCCCCACATATTCCTTCTCTTTGAAGTCCTGGAGAAATGCTTATATTTTTGGAAACTAATATTAAGCTGCATGAAAGCTGCCAACGCTTCAAGGAACACCAGCCAGAGGAACGCCAGCATGAATGAGTTAGATGGGCCGTTCTCAAACTGCTACCACACTTGTTGGTGCTCTGCCTGTTACTGGCTGGTCATTCCTGCTACTGTTCTCCTAGGTTCCATCCTGTAAACTACACTAAGTAAACTATATGTACATTAAATAAATTAATTGGAGTTTACAGGGTAAACTATATCACATACAGAAAGATTCCCAAAGCTTTTTGTCCATCTGCCTTCAATCCCTACATGGATGTGTCTTGCATGTGAGAATCAGACTATCCAGTCTGAAATGGAAAGGACCTACCCTGTAAGGCCACTGTGCTCTAGGGTCTGCAATAATCTCACAGAGTTTAGATTCATCAGTTCAGAGAGTAAAGTCCTCTGGACCACAGGAAGGGCTGCGCTAGGAATGCTCCTTCAGATAAGGAACTCTTAAAGCTCCTTCTGGGATTGTGATGAGCAACGAAATTGTGATGCAAAAAACAAGACTAAGTATCGAGCTCGACTATCAAACCAAATGGGGATATTTGTGTTTACACCTTTGACCTGTTAAGGTACGAATGAAAAAGCATCAGGTAACAATAACAACCAACACAATCCAGGAAGTTCTAAAGGAAGAAAGGATTTAATTTTATACAGGATGGAGTAACAGCTCTAATGAGACGACCCTTTTTCAGTTTTTCCCTTGTGGTGTGTCCCAAAATCCTCACTGGAGGTCACAGAAAAAGTTGTATAAGAAGCTGTGTAATGAAATGGGACGGTGGGTTTGTGACAATTTCCAGGCTTTCCTCCTGCCTGCCCCAACTGCTGAAGTCTCTCAGTCTGATCTTAAGTATCTTTAACTCACTGTATTCTGCATAAACAAAATTTTCTTAGATTACCTATTCCCTATTTCGGGAAAGAGTTCAGGGTTTGGTTGGTTTTTTTTTTCTGGTCTTTGTCTTGTTTTGTAAGCCCACACACATTTAACTTGATGGAGCATTCACTTCAAAAGCTTCCTTTCAACTATTTATGAGCACATAAATAGCTATGCAGGAACAAGTCAATAACTTGTCTAGTATGCTTCCTGTTTCAAACAATGGCCAACACTGGGTATTTTGGGATGGAAATGTCCATTTTCTCCTATCTTTCTATCTCCTTATAAGTGTGTGTGTATACCTATATATAGCTACACCCATATTTACACACATGTGCGCACACATCCTCACAAGTATGTTTTTGATGTATAATTCAGCAAAAGAAAATACTTAGGCTAACTTCCGGACATGTGAATGTAACAGCAGCTAAATAGACCGTTTCAATTTCAAGTTTAATAACTGTTAAAAACGTTATTTCCTATGTTCTATGTCTTTAGTTACTTAGTTTATATTAGTTACTTACATGCACTTTAACTTGCATCTTTTCAAACTCAATTTTATAGGCATTGTGCAAGCCTGAAAGCATGCAAGACTGCTTTTGCAGCTGAGATTTGTTTTTTTTTTAAATTTTAAGGAGTAGGCTATGAGGTTATCATCCTGAAAGGATTTTCTATATCTTTCAGGGAACATCTGAGACAGAAAATTTACCCAGAATGGTGGGTAAATTCAAATATATGAATATAAGGCCCCATTTGTGCATTTCAGATGGACCAGTAAATAGCTGAAATGTGGTAATGTGGTTTCAAGTTCTATGTACTTAGAGCATTGTCTTCATAAGTAAGATATTCCCAGCATGTCAGTTGTCTGGAAGTAGCAATCTAAGTTAGATCTCCTCCAACACAAACATCTCCAAATTTAAAAATCACAGTAGGAAATCAGAAAGAATCACTCCCCAGGGGCATCTGTATTCTCAGTGAAACGTCAGCCTTTGTGTCATTTCTAGTCATCATCTAGTTACAGACCCTGCTGTTTAACACGTATCTTGAAGTTGCCACTCTGATTAACCAAAATGTCCAAACCATTACCCATTTTTTCCAGGGCTAATTACCAAATTTACTTACAACGAGAGTTCAGTTACATTTAAAGAGAAACGGGCAGATTTTCTTGACAGACATCTAAAACCCTCACAGCACTTCCTCAAATCTGTATTTTTTCTTCACAGCCACACTTGTGTTCTTTTCCTGCAAACACCAGCAGGGATTTGAGGACCCCTACCAGGAAGGAAAAGGTGCTGGAGAATTTTGTTCACCCGGAATGCGGGTTCCCTATTTGTCTCTCTTTCAGCTATGCCAGTCTCCATTTGAAAAGATACCACCCGGGTAGCTTTAAAACAAAAAAGCTTATCACTGTACTATTTTCTTGCTTAGTCAACCTTTTTATTACTTCAGTGTATCTTCTGCTACATTCGTCCCATTCACCTCTGCATTTGTTAGGCTTTCTCAAGGCACCTTATCTTTCCATGATTAACATGAATGCAAAAATGCTTCCTTTGCACATATATTAGTCTCTTTCCTCAGAGTAACTGTTTCATGTCAAACTTAAAAGTTATCTATTTTCAACAAATCAGACTTTTAAAGTGGTTTTAAAATAAACATTTGCAGACCATACCGCGCTTTCTTACCTGAACAGAGTTGTTCGACTTTTGTGTAGTTTAAAGCTAATATATCATTAACCCATGCGATGATGTCATGTCTGCTCATAGTCTCTTGGGTTATAGAGGTAGAGTACACGTTGACCGCCATTCCCCAACTAGGAAAAAAAGGACAAAAAAAATATTTTGACATCTTGGTGATTGTTTTCTGTATACAATGAATTTACACTTAAAAAAAAAAAAAAAAGAAAAAGGAAAAGCTGCATCACTGCAGAACGTTTTCTTATTTATATAGAAAGGAGGCTTAATTTTTATGCTTTGATGATGCTTGGAATATATGAACATATTTCTCTGGCTATCACTGTGAACTTGAACATACAAACCTACAGCATTCTGCTTAATGCTAACAAGGTAGGGAAAGAAGAGTCATATATAGCCTAAAGATACACAGACAGGATCAGAGAGACACAGAATCACAGCATGATAGGGGTTGGAAGGGACCTTTGGAGATCATCTAGTCCAACCCCCCCGCCAAAACAGGTTCAGCTAGAGCAGGTTGGACAGGAACGCATGTTTTGAGTATCTCCACAGAAGGAGACTCCACAAACTCTCTGGGCAGACCTGGGATTGTGTCACATACTGCTGCAATAATAGAGTGATCCAACCTCTATCCATCAGTTTTTTGCCACTGCAGGATGATCAGACTGCTTAAACCAGCATCTAATTTTCAGATAACATCTAGGAGATATAGCTGTTCTACTTACTCAAATACTGATTTCTTACTGGGACAGAGACCTTTTGGATTATTAATTCAGATATTAAAACAGTCACAGAGTAAATACCAGATAACCTATTTTATCAAATTACCAACCTCTATCCTGAAAATAACTGAGACTTGCACTCCCAGCTGTCTGGTTGGAAAGCTGTTGCGGAGCCTGATTTCTCTAAATCATTCGCAACACTTCCTCTCAGCTTAAACCCATTTGTTCTTCTGCCAACATCATCCTCCATCTCTAATGGCTTTTTCTTCCCCAGAGCTGATTTCATAATGCGTTAGGGACAGCACTCAGGAGTCTGTCCCAATGCCCAGGTAGGCTAGATTAAACAAATCAATCCTCCGAGTCTCTTATAAAGTCAGATCTTCACTCACTGGTCACGCCAGCAGTCCTCCTTGAACACAGCCAAACAGTTTCAGATGGTGTTCAAGCAACATTTCATCAAGACCTTGGAAAATGGCACTCTGCTGAAAATTTTCATAGCCACATCATCTTAAATAGGTCCTTCTAGTTAGCCAAGGTCCCTTCCTGCAAGTAGGTCTAATTCATAGTAGCTTTTATCAGCAGTCCCCATGTGCATCGACTGGAAAAGCATACCACTCCATCTTATTCCATTATTCTACATGAGGCACATCTTTCTGTTGCAAGACATTGTCAAGGGAAAATATCAGCACATTCAAGTTTATCTCACCAATAGTTTCAAAAGAGCAGAGTCAAGTTCATTCATGAAAAGAATAATAATGTTCCCAAGACTGAGTGTGAGGTGTCTCAGAAACGATCAAATAGTCAAAGTTGCGCTATTATTCTTGGAAAGAAAGGGTTTGGTGGGGACTACACACCTTTTGTCTCTAGAGACACCTTGTAGCTAAGATCTAACTGGCCAGCTTTGGTGCCAGTCCTGCCACCTCAGCCTTGGACCTCAACCTTCTCCCACAGTGAAAGAGAGCAGGATCTCCCCTGTGGGATCTGCGTGGGCTATTTCCATTGATAATCTGCAAAGATGTTGACTGACTGAAGCTTGATAAACAATTCTGCAGAGACCACTGCAGGTTCTCTGAGGTTAACTCCATCCATTTTTCAGGTGGAGCAACCCAGGTAATAAGTGTAAAAAAAAAACACTCCACCAGCATGAAATCTGACACAGTAACATAAGTGTATAAGTATGCACAGCAGGGAATATATTTAGAATACAAGATGACAAAGTTCATAATATAGGTCACCTTCCACAAAACAAATTTCACAAGCACATAAGATTGTTCAAATTGTCCCCATCTACTGACATTAAGATCCAAACCATAACATTTCCAAGCTTGCCTGATGAGAAAGAAAAAAATTATTTATATAAAAAAAAGACAACAGTGACAGATCGGTAAGGGAAAGCAGTCCTAAAAAAATTCATGCTCTGATAGTCAGGCTACTACTGCCAGCAAATTCATTTTGAACCAGGGTGCCCCTCTACCCACTTCTGTACAGGCACCTCCACATTACGGAAGAAACCAGCCTCTCTCCAATCTGTGCAGTTCTTCCTGCAGGCTCCCAGACAGCACAGCTAATTGTACAAACACAGCACTGTATTCACTGTAACAGTTAGCAAAGGTCGTTCTCTTGGCACACACTGAGTGCTTGGATTGAACCGAGCGCTAGGAACAAAGTTTTAGAAACAGGGAGTGTCCTTTTACTCGTGAAACCACACCATAACGGCTAGCTGGGAAAGCTTATCTTAACATCAGGATGCTCGTGAAACCACACCATAACGGCTAGCTGGGAAAGCTTATCTTCAACATCAACATAGAAGGGACTGAGCACTGCACAAAGGCAAACAGCACCTTTGGTATTAATAGCATCTGAAGTTTAAACTGTCACTGTTAGCATGGTTTTTATTTTATTATTCCTAACCTTTTTATATAGACAAGAAACTAACAGAAAGATACCATCGCTGTCCCTACTGAACTAACATGTTCAGTGCTGTTTGCAAGATCAGCTCAAGTTACAGCTTGATAGTGTCTTTAATATTCACTTCAGATTCAGAATAGTGAGTTTAATATTAAACCAAGAGACCCATATGGAACAGTCCACTCACTTCTAAAGAAACTGAGGCTATTTAGATGCTAACATTTGAAATAAAGCTACTCAGATCTGCAATTGCCACTACTTCATCCAAATTTTAATTGTCCTCTCGAGGCCAGGTAGAACTCAGAACAACCATCAGCTACCAGTAGTGAAAGTGGCAAGTCTGTTCTGTTAAAAAGATCAAGAAAATCCACACGCAGGAAGGAAGCAGAAATTCCCTCATCATCTTCTTCCAAAAGCAATTGCAAAGACAAATACCCATCCTTCTGCAAGTGACAGGAGAGCAACCAACCTCCTCTGCTGCAGTGCATGGGATGGAGAACTCTGCTTCAGGAAACAGCGAGTAAATGGATAACCTTGAATTTTACAATGATACCCTGACGGATATCTGTGATATAACTTATGTTGTGTCTGCACATGAATTACGATCTATGGGTCAAACGGAAGTTCAGGCTATGTGTTAGAGACAATAGCTTCACATTCACACAAGAGATAAGCATGACGGTGTATCAATACAATTTTAAACAAATGCATGCAAAATGAATCAGAATTTCTGTTTAAAAAAACCCATTCAACCACCAAATGGCCATTGCCATTTATCCTCAGTGACTTGTTAACATACATCTGAACCTTCCATGACCTCTTCTCTTGGAAGAGTTCACCGTGGCTTTCCATCTCTTGCAAGAGTTCACCATGTTTTTGCTTCTTCTGTCCCCCACCCTCCTCATGGTTATGTTTTAAATAAACTCAGCTGGGAAAGGTTTCCTTTACAGTAAGCACGTTCTAATTTGGTGCTCAGATACACACATATCCTGTTTGCCACACAGGCAAACTTTGAAAGAAAAAAAAAAAAGAAAAAAACAAAACACACACAACAGAGAAGAAAAAAAGAACAGCTGGGCATAGGCAGGGGAGCTGCCATGTTCAGTGACAGACAAGAACCTGGGCACTTGACACCCACAGCCGGGCATGAGTTTTCTCCAGAACCCAGTTCCCCATGTGCTGAACTGCTTTCAAAAACTTCATCCAGATTCCAAACACGTATTAATAAACATCTGTAAGGCAACACAAGAGAACAGCTGGACAGGTGGAGACTCACAGGCTGTACTCTCTGAAGAGCCAAGTAGCTAACAACTTATTTGTATGTCCTAATATGCTACTTCTTCCCAGTAATATTATTTACATTTTCGGCTTGTTAGGCTTTCCTTTGTTTAGGCTGAAGGCTCTCAAGCATAAGGCTGCGATGAGGCTTATACAAGCCTGAAAATCAGCATCTACCTCACTGAAATCTTTAAGTTTTCACCTTCCATAGAGATGCCTGGCAATTCTACAGCAACTACAAGAAGACTGAAGATAGGACATGACACCCCCCACTTCAGAACACGCAAGTGGAGACTAAAAACCTCTGGCTGTTACAGTACTGCCTAACCACAAAGGCCTCTGCCTTGTTTTACTTATAAGAAAGCGAAATTCAAATCCCCAATAAATACGAACAAGCCATGGAAGAGTCTTCACATATTAATCCAGGCCCTTCCAGAAAAACCCTTCACCCTGAACAGCTAAACACCACAGAGCTGAGTTCAGAGGATTCCTTAAGGTGCTGAAAATCATATATATGCTGAAGCAGCTTCCCCAAATCAGAAATACACTGGCTCAGCATGTCCAGTGGTAAACGTCACACCCAGAGGAGTATTAATTTTTTAAGGCCTTACATGCGGCACCGAGCATTCAGCTATTAGGTATTTTCCACTGCTCTTGCTCAGGATAACTGCAGCTGTTACAAGGTGTTATCCAGCTGTGCTTAAGGACGGTTTTGCAAGAGGCATATTTATTTTTCCGGGGAGATGCTAACGGTTGTTGACAGCAGAAGCTGTACTACGCCAAACCAGTAATAACGGTGAAGCTGGAGGGATTACAGCAATAAATCTGTCTGCAGCATAACAACCCATCACACGTGCCACCACCTCTGAACCTGCAAGGCCTTCACATTTTGTACCATCAGGCAGGGTACAACGTTAAGGTTTTAAACGCCACAGAGAGCCTGTGTGAGGATACGAAAGAGGAGCCTTCTGGAAGCTGGCACCTGATCCCATCAGGATAGACACCGCCAGTAAAACAACAGATACCACACAAAAAAAACTTACTGAAGCAGAAGATACAGCAAAAAGGCGAAGATATAGCTGAGAGAGACGGCTGCAGATCCTGTTTGAAAGGATTTCTAGGTGAAAGCTACTGCAAAACACAAAGCCCTGAAGGAAGAGCCCTGCCAGCCTCAGCGGCTGCATCCCTGCAGGAGGAGGATTCCTGTCACG